GATGCAGGGCTTTACCTGCTAGTTTTACTATACCAGCCATCTATTTCGTATTTTGTATTCTGTATTTCATATCTCTTATATTACTGTTATTTTATTATGCATTTTTATGGTACTAATATATCGGCTCCTGTTGCTTTTTTGAGCCGAGGGTCTCCTGGAAACAGCCTCTCTACCCTTCGGGGTAGGGGTAAGGTCTGCGTACATATTACCCTCCCCAGACCCCACTTGTGGGATTATACTGGGTCGTTGTTGTTGTTGTTGCTATTTCAAGCCTAAATGAGCTACAAACCTCCAAAACACAATCCGGACACGCTCCTAAGCCCAAAATACCCAACAGAGCTAACGAAACCGACGGAATTCCATTCCGGAACCGTCTTCACACAGTTCCGACAACGGTCTAAGCTCCCATTTAGGAACTAAGTGTCCCAAAACACTCCAAAACTCAAAACGAACCCGTCCGGCAAGTCACAATAGCGGAAAAAGATAGGGGGGGAAGCAGTTAATAGGGGATCGGGGCTCTAACTCTCAAAACGACCGGCCGGGTCGTTACAATTTTAACTTTAAAGATGCCTTTACCTTAAATGCATAAGAAGAGACATCCATAGATATTAAAATTGAAACTGAGTCTCCATATGTGTTCTGCATCTACTACTATTATGACTTATAGGATGCCTTTACCTTAATACATGGGAAATAAAGGACACTGGACAACACTAGGTGCTGATTTATTCCATCTCATGCTTGTAAGCAATCAAACTGTAGGTTGGAAGGTAAAATGTTCATGATTTGGTCATTGTAGTTTATCTATTATTGGCAAAATTGAATAAACATCAAATATTAAGAGAATTGTAGAAAGATTCAGAATTCAAACTCCCTTATTACTGTTGTAATGTATTTTTGGCACCTTGTGCAATAGATGAGTTATACGTGTGTTAGATGTAATATAAGAACTAAGGCATTCAGAAGTATCTAACTGAAGCTAGAATAATATCTTGTTCATTTAGTCTGTGCGTAATGATTTTAAATGTAAACCATTTCAGTTGACTGTGGCATGCATAAAAATGAAGAGGCCAGAAATAGCTGAAAAGGCAATTAAGATTGCAGAGAGACGCTTAGCGAGGGACAAGTCGCCTGAATACTATGATACAAGGCGAGGAGGGTTCTTCGGGAAACAGGCACGTCTCTTTCAGACTTGGACTACTGCAGGATATCTAGTAGCAAAGCAACTTATTGCCAATCCAGAAGCTGCAAAAATTTTAATCAAGGTGGAGGATACAGAACTTCTAAGTGCCTTTTCAAGCATACTGAATTCAAACCCAAGGCGGAAACGTTCACGAAAAGGAGTCAAACAGTCTTTCATCATATGAAAATTTTCTTTTTGTTACTGAAGCTTTTGTGTAATATTGGTCTGAGATGTGCTTAAATGTAACGATATGGTTAGTGAAGATTCATATATATATATATATATATATATATATATATATATATATATATATATATATATCCGATCCCAACTCAGCTTGGGACTGAGACATAGTTGTAGTTGTTACTTAAAGCGTTTGTATAGTTACTATATCTGCACGATATACCGGTGATGGAAAATTTGTGGGAACATGGCATATGAAGGTGCTGTCCTGTATCAACTTTCCCTCTGTAAATTCATCATAATCCCAGTACATTGTATCTGATTTTCTTTTCCATTTTTCACTTCCCTGTTCCTGCTGGAGCAGTTATCTCCACAATAGCAACCAGGAACCTGTTTTTTTTTCCACGACAGTAGTCGGTAACGTTTATCAATGGCAGATTACAGGGATTGTTAAGTAGGCACTTGCACATGTATTATCTGATATTGAAATATTATTTGCAAGTCAATGTATGTTCTACAATTCTGTCCATTTTTCCAACTTTAACTTGAAATAAAGGATTTGAAATTGAAAAACTTGTTCGGAGAGTATTTCAAGTGAAATAAGGACCTCACAACTAGCAAGAATGCTAGGGAGCTCAAGTTCAACCTAAACAAGTGTCATTAAGAACGCCTTTACCATAAAAATCCATGGTCAAGGAATTGTGATCATTAAAGAAAAGGAAGCATTGTGTCAAAGTTGCCAACTTGACAAAGTTATCTCTCTGGACCAGATAAAAAGTTTCATATTGGAAGTGAAATGTACGCACTGAATTAACACCAGCACTTCATGGAAGTTGGGACTTGATAAAAAAGCACATGATTTTGGTATTTAGCTTGTTTACTCTGCTACAGTCAAGCTGATACATTTGCTCTTTCAATTTTGATGCAGTAGTTTTACAGCATGTCCTTAGAACAAAATAGCATGCACAAAAGAAGAAAATTCTCTTGACCAAAGATCTGAAGCAGAATTGGCATGTGATAATGCATCGCCTTGCTACAAGACTTCTTCACGATAGAGAGATAATGATTACATCAAATATTTTGGCCCTGATTATTCATTGAAGCTTCCTGGCGGGCACATAGTAAGTTGAAATATTTTTGTTGTTTTTTCCCTTACACAACACGTCCTCATCTTACTCAAGGCTTGCAGTCTTTTTTCCAGTTAGATTCATTTGGCACACCATAGTTGTATTAACCATAAGATGACCAGATCGCTTGATCCGTTGTGCCATGTCTCATTGAGCGTTTTCAAGTAGTAAAAAGGATAAGCCCTTAGGGTTAGCTCAACTGGCAAAGGTTCAGGGCCTTGTGTCTTTTAGGCAAACTAAGTCCAGTATTTAAGTGGAGAAGGGTAGAGGGGCGGGCCCATCATCTCGAGTTTTGAGGGCTGTGGTTGGCCCATCATCTCCGGATGGACTTCTCAGTCATAAAAAGAAAATAGTAGAAAAGGATAACAAATTAGCATCGTAATCTTGCTCAACTTCTTGTTTCATTGATTGAACAGGAGAACTTGAATAGCAAATCATACATTGGCACCATAAAAATGCAAGTAATGGAAGATCTTCGTTGCATCCAGCATGCTCCTGATGTACAAATGAAAGAAGTAAGTCAAGTGCATCTTTTATAATTTCTGGGTTGCCAACTAATCAAGAACGCATAATTACATGTGTTTGTTTTACATAGTTGCATGCTAGATTTTGTGTTTATATGACTTGAGCAACTTGAAATTTTAATTTGCCTTGCATAGTTAAAAGGTTGTTTATTGTCGGTTTTTGTTCGAATTGCCGTGGCATTGCATTTGAGATACATTTCGCCCTTGAAAGTGATTGCCTCTTGACGACTTATGTTGATCATCCTTCCTTTGAAAATACACAATCATGTAAAAGGGAAGTTTCAGCTTCTACTGTGGTTCTACAATCATTCATACAATCATTGTGAGAATGCTTCTCCAATGCATAAAAAAAGAGCAACCTGCATTTGCTATGTGCTGTAACTCTCATCAAAAGCGCGTGGAATGGATCTAACCATGATTGTAATGGATGCCTGAAGGCATCTGGGGAAAGATAGTGACTTGCATGAGTCTGAAAACTTTCATATTTTTTTTATAGGTACCACCCGACTTCTATATTCCTGATTTTGATGAAGATGACCAAAATCCAGACGAGCGTGTGGATCGTAAGTAGAAATGTGACTTTAAGCACATTACATGCTCAAATTCGGAACTATAATGATCTAACACTTGACCCTGCCTTGTATTCACAGAGCACACCCAAGATAAGCATATCCAGCGTGACGATGAATATTATGAAGGCGACCATGACAATGATAACCACATGGATGATGCTTAAATACTAGAGTATGATGTAGTTAGGTTCGTCTATGTGTCCATTCTTTTGTCTATTATAGAAAAGGCAATACAGAACTCTAGTTTATTGCCTCATGTTGTTCCTGCATTTAAATTCCCCCTCACGTAAAATATACTGGATGTGATAGGATTTTAATTGTATCGTTGCAGCTATAGTCTTTATTGGGTTTAGATTGTCAATGGAGGTATATGCTTTTATCTCCATTTTAGAGGCTGTCTTGAACAAGTAAACGGTGTTATGGGCATGGTAAGTTGTGAATATGCAGTACTTTTATTAGCTACTTAAAGCATTATAGTTTGTTTCAGGATACGTATTTCGCAGTCTGATTAGACATGAGAAGTGATTTGCTGCCTACAGTTTAATCATATCTTTATTTCAGTCTACCGCTTATTAGAGGATTCATGATCCAAAGATTTGAAGTTATGAATGGAAATCTATTGTCTTATTAGGCTCGACTTTGCACAAAATTCAAAGTTGGTTTATTCGCAGTTACGTTATTGCAATGCTATAGATTTCAAGCGACACCTAACGTAGGGACTTTGAAATAATCCACGTTGCCATTGGTGCCTAGTGGTAGCTTTACCCGAACCCTGATTTTTTCATATTTGTTCTTACAATTACCCAAAAGAAAAAAAAAGAGGGAGAATTCCAAAGATGTTAATCACTTTACATCCAAATGTAGCTTTCTCGTTGACACAATTGCCACCTAAAAGGATCTGCAGCTTTTCATATTTCTGTTGAGCAGTGGTTATACAAGAAAATAATTGTCAGCTGCTTCTTGGATATAATGTGCTCTATTGAAACTAAACCCTAAGCCCTAAACCCTAAATCTTATGTCAATATTCAGATCCTACCAATGCAAGAGAATCTATCCATATTAGACATGTACCATGCACCCTAATCGAACAATGTCCACAATTCAGATTACCTCTCTCTAGTAGAGATGTTTCCCCTCTGGTACTGCAGAGGACCAGCTACACTAATCATGACTCCCGAACAAGATCACATTGGAAAACAACTAGAGGAATGAATTTTTTTTTTTTGGCAATCCGCTAGGCAAGCGTCTAGGGCTAATTTTTTATTAATGAAAGAAAAGAAATATACAACAATTAGGAACAGTACAAATAAGGGGGACAATAGCACCAATATTGTTACCCATATGCCTTGGCTATATAATCACTCCTCTGCGCCTCACATTGCCTTATGATGGCAGCCTCATGTAGAGGATTCATGGTGTAGCTGCCGGCAAAGTCTCACGAGGGCATATAATCTCATAGCCGTGTGGATATTTTTCCAAAGGCATAGTACCAAGGCAACACAAACCGGGCTAAACCTTACCCTACTAATCCTATTGAGGCAGAGAAAAGGCCTCACCTACTAGCACGCATGTAAAAAATAAGAACTGGAGAGTACCAAATATTCAATGATCATCACAGAGTTTATAACATACTCTGTGATGATATTACAAATGAGAATACTAATAAAGTGGTATAATAGAATGAAGTACCAATTTGGTTCATGTCCCTTCTTTTGCAAACTTGTAAAATCTTCAATTTGTAATTCTTTGTTGTTTTCTTCAACCGTGTTCAAAATGTATTCAAAAATCATCATTTCTTTTTTGAACGGTTGGACCTCGTTGATGTAGTTGGGGCAGCCTGCTTTTGTTTGGCAACTCTCATTGGAGGTCGCCTAACATTTAAAAAATCACTAACCTTGTCGTCCCAACTATTTTTCCTTGTATGAGATTTCCTATTTTTTCCGCTATGCATAGGTGATAAATCACCTTTTCTTGCTGCATGTGCGCGACATTCTTTCAAAACTGCATCTTCTTCTCCTTCCTCATACATATCTCTACCCACAGATACTGGATCTGGCATGTCTTGTAAAAATTCTTGTGCCATCAAACCATTTCCATCTTGTCTGTTAACCATAGTTGCCTTGTTTTGACTTTGTTTTGTGCCTTTCACCTGGTTGCTGGTCCAATCCCCACGCCCAGTGCTACCAACTTGATTTGTATTTAGAGAATTTAGGGGCTTAGAACTTACCATTGCATCAAGTAGCTTTCTGTCCTCCATCGTGATAACAGGTGCCCTTATAGATAACTGTTGCTGTCCAGCAGTTGAAGAAGTTACTGCTGCTCCTGCATTGTTTTCATTCTGCTGCTGCAATGCATCAAGCAACTTTCCATCCTGCAAAGTGATAGCTGGTGGCGTTGTATCCTGCTGCTGCTGTCCACCAGTTGGAAGTGTGACTATAGCTCCTGAGGTGTTTGCATTCAGCTGCTGCTGCCCATACTTTCGACCAGCTGGATCAATCTGGTTACTAGGTGTGGCTGCATTTTGAACTATGTTTCCAGCTACTGCATCCTTGACTTTTAGAGCAGCAACTGGAGAGTACCTGGGAATGAAAGCTGGAGCGTTGAGATTCAACATGCTTTTGTGGCTCGTGTTTGGTATACCATCTGGTTTAGGCAGTGTTATTGAATCAAGTTCTTCACCTGCACTCTCCTGATCAACCTCATGATCTGCCTCTTCAGATGAGTATCCAGCAAAATCAACACCACAATCTTCTTCATCATCATACTCACGCTGGTCATCCCAGAGCTTGGATTTAATTGCCATCGCCTTTTGCGCATCAACAGGAACAATGTCCTTCGACACAATAAGTCGACCACCTGTGTTCTTGGCAAGTTGTTGTTTGCTACTACCTGGATATTGTAGTTGGCAAATTTTTGGGGTTGTGTTCATCATCATAGCTGCCACGACATCGTTTACCATTTTATCAAGCTCCGAATTGGAAATATGTAGCGTTGGCGTATCTGCAGCATGAATTTGACTTGTCTCACCATTGTGATTACCACCAGATGCGATCTCAAGGCGAACACTGTCCGCTTCATTTTTCTGCTCCTTTTCACTACCTGTAAAATTAATTTTTTCAGCATCTGGTCGTATCTCGTACCCCATATGTTGTTCCTCATTAACATGCTCACCCTCATTCACCAAAGCATCGAAAGAGTTCGAAACTCCAATAGCCTTTGATGGTACAATCTGATTTTGAAGCATTGGAGTTTGCTTCTTGCTAGGTGATTTGTTCACCACTTTCCAGTTGTTACTCTTTGTAGTACCTACTGCCCCTACACCTATTTTATCTTGCCCCGCAGAAATTTGATGACCATGTGCCAAAACATTTTTTCCTCGATCAACATCGGCATGCATTGCACCAGCAGTGACTAGGTGCATTCTTGTAGAGATAGTGGAGGCGTGAACATGTTTGGATTGTTTAGGCAGCCCCTTGTCCAATTTTAACACCTCATCTAGTGGCACGATAGGAGCTGAAGCATGTGTTGTATTTGAATTGTCAATAACCCCAGCAACAGAAGTCATAACCCCTTCATTAAAGAGCCCAACACCTGCCTTCAAACTTGTAGCATCTGCACTTCTCACAACATCAACATCTTCAAGTTCCTGCTCCTCATCTTGCACTGCAGTATCTATTAACTGAGCTGTTTTTTTAGTTAGATTAACATGTGCAACAGTAGCTTTAATAACCCCAGCAGTAGGACGATTACCAGTTGCATTCAATGCAACATTAGCCTCCAATTGTGAACCTACAGTAGCTGATCGTCTTTCAACTTTGTCAACTTGTCCTATCAATGTTATTGCTGCATTATTCTTGGCAAACATTGTTCGAACAGCTGCAGCTAAAGCACTGTCATTCATCATCCCAGGTACAAACGCTGAACCTTTAGAAGTTCCAGGTAAAGCTTGATCAACCACAGTATTTTTTGCAGCCTTCAAGTCCTGAGCAACTCTAGCAAGGGCTTCAGCAACTGGGACAATTGCACTAGAAACAGGATTACGCCCCATATGCCTTGTAGATACAGCTGTTACATGTGCTGTCTTGATCAAATTTTCAGCGTGTTCATGAGCCCTTTGAGGAGCTCTTAACACCTTTGTAGCATCTGTATGGTTAATGTGATCTCCAGCAGTTCGATCACCATCATTTAAGGCCCTCCTCTCATTCAAAAACTGACGCAAATCTCCCTTGTATTTCGCACCACCAATTTGTTCTTGACGAGGTTGCTCTTCATCAATCTGAGCATCCTCATCACGATTTTTTTTTCTGAAGTCTTCGACACGTAGTTTCATCATGGCCTTGATGCTTACAACAATTACAATACAGTGGTAAATTATCGTAAACGATTTCTTGAAAAACCTCCAGTACTTTTCCAGAAATTGTATCCACACTTTGCAACCTTACGCGATTAGGATGTTTGTTAAGCAAGTCTAAGATCACCTTCACCCTAGCAGTGCTAGGTCTGGACTTAGTTTGTGTTGCCTTATCAATGGCAATTGGTTTTCCTACAGCAGATGCTATAGACAACAATGAAGGCATCACAAACAAATCTGGTGACAGATTCGGCAACGATATCCAAACCACTGCTTTTGTTGTTTCCTCCTTTGGGTTATAACCAATCGTCCATGGAAATACACGATATTGAAGCTGAACACCCTTATACAGCAGATAATTAACAGAGCGAGCTAAAGCACTTACATAATCATCATAACGATCAAACCTTAGCAGTAATTGTCTTGGTGCGAGTAAACCGATGATACATCGACCTTTAACACCTAAGTGTTTGGGCAGTAAATCTCGTTGCTCATTGAGTTCTGGTGCTCCTGGAGATACTTTCATCACTACTGATTGATGCAAGCCTTCCTTCACAGCAAACTGTTGTCGTTCTTCTAAGGAAAACATTACAGTTGGCTCTCCATGGATGAACTGGACTGGTTTGAGTTTTGGAGTTGTGCGAGGTATGGGGTCTATTTTTGTTGCGATTTGCTGAGCATATGTGGGTTTTATTGGTGGCTCTCCCACAGCCAAAGGCTGGGGAGAGACGACAGCATCCATGGCTACTCAAAACGTCACAATATCATTGACGTGAAGAACTGAAAATAACAACAAAATCTGGAAAATTCTGCTTGCTACAGTAAATCGCGAAATAGAATTTAAGATCTAGAAAAATAGGTTATGAATTTGAGGATGAAACCAGTTGGGGATTGTTCTCTAAGAGAAGGGGGTTCTTTTAAGACCAATCTTGTGATATTACCTTGCCGGATGCCGGAGTTATGGCCCGGTGAATAGTGATGGAATTACTATTCACCTTCTTCCTAGAGAGAAGGAGGAGGATTTTAGAGAGATAAGAATTAAGGATGTTGTAATGATGCTGTTCCTAGAGGAATGAATTGTAACCTCCACCCAGCGGTATTTTTTGCTTAAACGTTGCTGATGCCACCAAGCAAGGACAGTGCTGGAAACCCACACTCTGAAGCAAAAGAAAATAATTAGTCCTCAATATCAGTTGGTAGAGAAGATAAAAAACTGCGTGAGAAATAAGAAATTGACATCTCAAAAACAGCATGGAAAGTGTGGGAAAAGAAGACCAAGTTTTCCAGGGATGGTTGTGATTGTAATTTACACTATTAATGCCCTCACAACTAGTTACCTACAGCCTAACTTTGGATTGGCAGTGAACCACAAGAACGGTAGCAAGCATAACATTCACAATACAAGGTAATCCAAGAGATATGGTTGATGAGCAAGAACAGTAGTAAGCACACACGTTCCAGCACCAGTTGCAATGCATGTTAACCAGTCTAGTGAACCACTAGTGAAATATCGATGCATATACACACATTCATCTGAAACATTTGTATTAGTGAATGTGGCGCTATTTCGGTGAGACTTTGTCTGACAATACAGCATGGTAATTGATCAAGTGCGCTCAATCTTGAAAAGATCCAGAAAAAGGAAAGGGAAGGAAGACAAAGGGCCACAGACTCGTAAGAGGAGAAGGATCAAAAAGTTCTGTGCTATCATGCTCTTTTTCCTTGTTCCGTGATGCAGTTAAAGGATAAAACAAAGCAAAACAAAACAAAATGAAACAGCGATAGAACATGGTTGGGTCGTATGTAGAAGAAGCACAGAGCAGAGGATCAGTGCCTGAGAGGCAAGGCTGCGAGAACTGAACAGCGTAGACATTTCTGTAGGGTTTAAAGAAGAATATCTCCACTTTAATCTATTCCCTTTGGATCAACCATAAATCTTGGTCTAAACTGTTTTCCACCAGTCTCTGTAATAAACTAAACCAAATGAGTAACTTGTTTGTGGTTGAACCAGCCTGTTCGTTTATCAGGTTCGTATCAGGTTCACATAATGATGGCAATTGAAGCCTCAAGCTTTAGGCTAAACAGAACAAATGATAAAGAAAAGCTTATCAGGAAGGCTTGTTAGCTGTAGGAAGAATACTATCAGATTAGTATCACAAATGCAGACATAAAAACAGGCATCGACTTACTGGTATGCTTAGCAACAGCCCATCCACATTGACTAAGACAGGTAAAGCTCTTCTGGCTGCGACTGGAATGGACTTCAATAAGAGGAGAGCTCTTTCAGCTGATTTCTTTGTACAAGCAGAACACAAGTTTATGTTGCTCATTACTTGTTGTGACTCCACTGAAAGGGAAAGTTCTTCTTCATGAACACTGCTGCTATCCTCTCTCTTTGATAATGTCGCAAGGTACAACCAATTAGCATCAACCATGTAACGGACCCTGGCCACCTGATCATGGCCAACGAGACAAGAATTGCAAAGTTCCATCTTTCTTCTCCAAAATCTTGGAATTGATTGGAGTTATTCATGGAAAATGAAGTGCAAGCATTTTGCTTGCTCAGATTCCACTTCACTATAAATCTGTTCATGAAGTAACCAACTTTTTCAGGACGGAGTGCTTTGCTTGGAGCAGAAGCTGTATATTCTACTTTGTGCTCCACCTTATTTTCAAGCACAATATTAGTTTTAGACACGAAATTATTGCTTTCCTCTCTCTGTAGAGAAATAATGCTCTTGTAGGTAGATTCACTAAGAATGCCTTCCCTTTTGGCTTCAGCTAGAATGGAATCAGAAGATGTTAGGTCCAAAAATTGCATTGCTAGTGTACTTTGAGGGAACTGATCCGAGTATGACCTTCCATTTGCTACCATTTGCTCTACCTCATTTGAAATAGAGCAGTTTTTTCATTCAGTAAAGTACGGATTTAGGAACTCTAGAGTCAAATCAGCATCAGTAGAGCGGCAAACCAATACTTTAGTGCCTCTGGAGCCAGGAGCAGGGCAAGGTAACAACCAGATGCAGTAACAGCAGTCTGCAAGGTGCCATAAGTAATAATATTCAACAATATGGTATTGAAAATCATCAGTCTAACTTCAAGATAAAGGAAATTCTTGTCCACAATTGTTATATCTCATTTGCGTGCGCAAAAACCGAGTCAGATTGGATTTTATTCACCTTGCATGGGGAAGTCCGAATGTAGTTCAACAATAATTTTGATGCACTGCCTCTGACAGGTCTTTGCCTTTGTGAAACAAACTATCATACCAGAAACAAGAGGCATAAGTAGGTATGTATCATTAGATACAGGGCGAGAAAATCTTTCTCCAACACAATATTTTGTCTGAAAATAAATGATTAAAGAAATTAAAAGCTAAAAGTGGCTATACCTGCAACAACAAAGCAATAAACTTGGAGAGAACTATGTCCTTTAAATCTGAAGGCCTGAGGATTCCTAAAGCAATCACTGCATACCCTTCCTGCTTTCCAGAAAATAAAAATTAGGGGAGTAGAGGCAGAGAATGAGAGAGAAAGAGAGAGGAACATCAGGTTATAGACAAGTCCTAGTCAAAATACCTTTCCCTACAGTACCAGTAACCATTGAAGGATTTCATTCCAAGTTTCTCTTCTAAATGATTAGTTTATCTATTGATCCATCAATCTTTTCCATAATACTTCATTGAATGTCTATTATTTAATTAATGGATTTTAATAATTCACATTCTGAAAATAAGAAGTGCACACAGTTAATAACAGAATGAAAGGAGCATGCCTAGAACTATGACTTCTAAAATGCTCTGGGACTTGCTTTCAATAACCCCAGGGAAAAAGTAGTAACATTTTACTTGGCCAATATGACGAACTAAGTCCAAAGAAAGAAAACAGGAAATTACCAACCTCCCCCAGTCCAAGTAGAAAACTGTAATTCTTTACTGCTTCCCTCTTGACTACCTACAAGAGAGCATTTGACACACTAACCACAATATTCATTTTGCATTGAAAATAAGAAAATAAGGTTGAATAAAATGTTAGTGATTCTGTTTTGGAGACTGTGAAATGTGTATGTAAGGAAAATGGTGCTGAACTGCAAACTGACAACCAATATACCCAGGAAAAGGGCACGAAGTGAGAGCAAATGCAGATAGATGTCATTTCTCAAACAGGTAGTACACCTCCGAAGGCTATCAAGTACCAATAGAGGGACAATGGCATATTGGTTATAATGCATTCCCAACTAAACTCTAAAACTCACAGGCATGATAGTCACAGCTTGATGCAACAGGTTGGAACACATTTTGTCAACATGCGACCTTGTTCTCCGACAAGCAGAAATAAGTGCTTGCAATTCGGACCTGAAGATAGCTGCAGGAAAAAAATAAGAAGATCAAAATACAGTAAATATAGGTCAGTTAACAAGGATTCTCTAAGATACCGGGTGCATAAATCAAGTCAAATGCACGAAAAACAACTCACGTGATGCCAGGTCAGTCAATGTCATACGAATTCTATCACGAGTAAATAATGCGCTTCTGTTTGTGGGATCTTCAATCCATTCTTGATTGGCACCTAGACATATCTGCAATACAAGGTAATGCAACTTTAGAAGCTTCCAATGAACTAGGAAAAGGAATATTCCCCTCAATCTTTTCAGCAAAATGCAGCAGATGCAGTTTAATCATTTTAAGATCCTCATGAAACATTAACCTGAAAAACTCTACTTACAGATTCAGAAAAAGCCATTCAGAGTTCAAAGACTACTATGAAAATCCTCCAAAAAGGCAAAATGAAAAAACAAACCTTATACATATCTTCTTTGGAGAACTCCAGCAGAGGTCCCACCAGCACAGGTACCGGTAACTCTGTCTACCAAGGCTAAGCAGAGGTGTATTTTGCCTCTAATGGGATTTGAACTTGAACCTTATGTTTCTCCTTTGACCACTAGATGACAGCCTTGGGTGCTTTTCATTTACTCGATTTCTATTCATGCGAGCCTATTACTATTTGGGGAGTCAAACAAGGTTTTCTTTTACCACATTTTGCTCATTCTTCTTAAATATTTTGAATCGTTAAATATTGTGTACTTTTATGTAGTTTCTAAATATGTACATTTTATTCTATGTTCGAATTCATACCGAAAATTAGTCAGCTTGACCATCGTACTCCGAAAAGGTTCACATAAACTGAAATGGAAGGAGTACCAATTTTTGTTTAACTAGTTTTTGATTGAGGCGTAGTAGTTGTTGTTTTTATATGATTTTTTGCTTAACTGTCTCTGCTGATTTTTGATTATGTGGGAAGCGGTAAAACTGTTGGAGAGTCATGTCTATTTAAACGGGGTCCTTTTTTCTTTTTCTTTCTTTTAGAAATTGTTTAGAGGTGTACATTGATTAGTTTACTTGTATGAGTTGGAAATTTACTGGTCAAAGGTTTTGTCTTTAGATTAGTTTGAAGAATATGCTGATTTTTACAATAACAACTTCGGAAGAGGGTTTCAGAATAGTTTACTGCTTCAAATGCTTCAAATTTCAATCCATTTTGAGGGGTTAAATTTTGGCTTGATATTTGAATTCAGATGTGTATAGTAGTAACAGATATTGGTGGAGAGGAGCATAGTGATAGATGGGAAATAACTGTGTTCATGCAAAGTTTTCAAAGGATGGGTTCTTCAACTTATTCTTTTGGCGGTCTCGATCACCGAATATGATCACAAATAAGAAAAAAGAAAAGGCTATTGAAGAACCTTCTACTGACAAACAGCCCGAACATCCTAATTCTTTTCAGAATAAACCCCCAGAATTGGTGAAGATAGACAGAGAAGAGAGTAAGCTATCAGATACAAAAGGGTCCAAGCAGGCTATTATAGTGAAGGAACAGAAGACAGACTCTCAGGTAGTTAAGCCTGAGAAGATATCAGATCATTCGAAACCTGCAGAAGCAACGGGACCTGAAAATTTTGGCAACACAGTCCATGAAAAGGCAAAACCAAAAGAGCCGGCAAAACCGAAGAAGCTACATCACGTCAAGAGAATGCTTAGTGCAGGACTCCAGGTTGAGTCGGTGTTGAAAACAAAAACCGATCTTCTGAAGGAGCATTATGATTTGGGGGAGAAACTTGGACATGGACAATTCGGGACCACATTCCTCTGTGTTGAAAAAGCAACAGGGGAAAAGTATGCTTGTAAGTCTATTGCGAAGAGGAAATTATTGACACCTGAAGATGTGGAAGATGTAAGGAGAGAAATTCAGATATTGCATCACTTATCTGGACATCCTAACGTCATTTCAATAAAAGCAGCGTATGAGGATGCTGTTGCAGTTCATGTTGTGATGGAATTATGTACAGGGGGTGAGCTCTTCGATAGAATTGTTAAGCAGGGACATTACTCGGAGAGAAAAGTGGCTGAGCTTGCAAGGACAATAGTTAGTGTAATAGAAGCCTGCCATTCTCTAGGAGTGTTGCACTTGGACCTTAAGCCTGAGAATTTTCTCTTTGTCAACGAGGAAGAGGATTCACCTCTAAAGATTATAGATTTCGGGATATCAAAGTTTTTCAAGCTAGGTATTTTTCCACTTTCTCCAAATTCTTCCATTTACTTCCTATATATTTTGGTTGTAACAGCCCCACCCGCTAGTAATATTATTCACTCTGGGCCTAGGCCCGCACGGCTTTAAAACGCGTCACTAGGGTTTAAGACTTGTTAACTTATATACCCAGCATCCTTCTTGTGTTTTGCCGATGTGGGATTCTGTCTAAAGTCTGAGGTATTACATGTACCCCTTCTTATGGACTCAGCGTCCTCGCTGAGGTTTGCCCCACCGCATGGGATTTGCCTAGACTCAGCACTGAGGTTTGCCCCGCCTAACCGGGATTTGCCTAAACTCAGTTGAACTCTTACCTACCATTGGCATGGCTGACACAAGAGTGGCTCTGATACCATCTGTAACAGCCCAACCCACTAGTGATATTGTCCCCTCTAGGCCTAGGCCCGCACGGCTTTAAAACGCGTCACTGGGATCTAAGGCTTGTTAACTTATATACCCAGCATCTCCCTTGTGTTGTGCTGATGTGGGATTCTGTCTAAAGTCTGAGCTGTGCGGGCCTAGGCCCAGAGCGGACAATATCACTAGCGGGCTGGGCTGTTACATAGATCTTTTGCACATTCTGATATAGTAGGCCAAGGTTCTGATACAAAGTCGAGTTCCCCTTTTAAAACCTGTTCAAATATTCCTTGCTCCGTCTCTGGTGCAAAACATCAAAATTCATAAGCCACATGGACTTCATGTTGCTTCAAGGATTATAAAATCAAATTGCAAAGGAAAAAAGTCAAAAAAAACTTACCATCCCAAAATGGAGGAACACCACTAAGTAGTATATAAATAATGACTCCTGCACTCCAAATATCACACTCTTGACCATAATGCTTCCGCAACACTTCTGGCTCCACATAGTAAGGACTTCCAACGACATCACCAAAGGTTTCACCTGAGTGCACCATATTTGTATTCTTGATTAGGTGAAGGAATACAGCTCATAAAACAGCTAGAGGAAACCAGAAGAACAGCAACTGATTCTTATAATTTCATTTTATCTGAAATAACTAAAGTAAAACTAAAAAGATAAAGATTAAAATGAAAGTAATAGTAGTCGCCTATTATATGAGCAGTAAACACTCTGCCTTAATAAGCTTAATGTGAAAATAGGTATGAAAATAGCAGGTCATATTATTGTGTGACTTCTGCTCTAAGAAAAGGCAATGTCAACAGACACCCTACGATTCTTAAGTTACGAAACAAGATAGAACATCCCATACTAACATACCGAAAATCAAGCAAGTAAATTCTAACAAAGAGCAATACCATTTTTTCCATTTTAGACATTTTCACTACTTTCAAAGATGTCTTTATAAGTACATTCATGCTCTTTGCTACTATTAAATCAGGATTAGACTAGTTGAAACTTAAAATAATCATTAAGAACAGTGTATAGAACATGTTTAATGTTTATGTTATGGTGGAAAGTCTAGAAAATCATTAACAATATTGTTTAAGTATAATGATTCTTTTTAGAATATTTCTAATGAGTATCTCATAATAATTACTAATCCCAAGAATTTGAGAATTTTCCTCATATTGTGGAGCTCAAAACTCCTGAGATAGGCTTCAAAAAGAGTTTTTTGCTCTCTTCTTTTCTTTTGTCGCATGGTATTAGAGTCTTTACAATTTTTGTAGAGACTTAAGTAGTGTCTGCCTACAACAACTACACCTCCATCTCAAAACTCATATTGCGGATTGCCTTCCTACTAATGACCAGAATTATGCCATAAGGTTTTATTTTCTTGTCATAGTTATACTATTATTATCTTTTTGTGATGACGGCTCTAGTGGTACTACTTCTCTTCCTGATAATCCTTCTTGCACCACTATACCTTTTTCCGATAATCCTTCCTGTAGCACGTACCACTTTCTAGCAATTATTCCAACAACACCATGCCTATTTTCGCTAATACTCTGGCGACACAACTCCTATTTTGACCAGCATTCCACCCACAATCTAGTCATCCTCTCAACACTAACTGTTCTGGATAACCGAACCGTGCCTCTTTTCGGTGGTATCGTGTCTTTAGCCAGCGTCTTGGCATCATCAAACAACTTTTCCAGTGAAACTTTTCAGCCACCAATTCGAACTATATCCTGGAGATTCGAGTCACAATTTCTCTTTCCATTGATTGAGGATAGATTTTTTCCTGTGTGCAGTGAGAATCACTTTTTCTGCTGTGCAATTACAAGTGGCTTTCTGGCAAGAAAGATTTTCGGCAACACTTATTGTGACTCAAAGCTCCAATAAAAACCTCTCTTGTACGTTGTTAATAACCAATTTCAATAAAAGTCTTTTCAGAATTCTTTTCCTTTTCACAAGATCCATGGGGGAGTTACTTTCCCTCAATGAACAAAGTATAGAGGTTTCTAAGATTGATTTGTAAATTCTTTCAAAAACAACTCCTGCAGCTATTAGGGACACCATGGATGGATCACCTATCAGGTGTTGTAATAAGAGTTTAATATTAGAAAGCCTTAAACATAAATGTAACCCACTCTTGCGTAACAATTCAATCGCCTTCTGGTATTACAAAGCAATCATAGGTTCATACATTGGAGAAAGAGCCAAGGCATAAGCAGTACTGGCGGCAGAAAGTTCACTGAAAGCAAGAATTTAATAAGAAAACACTTTTGCCTTGCAGAGTATCTTTAAGCATTTAATTAGATTATAGACTGTCCAGTGAGTTACAGATAATTGACTGACTTGGGGGGCGATATTAATGCCAGTTTTAAGGAAATTGTGTTTTCAAGAGAATACCTGGCCTGAGGAATACTGATAACCCGAAGTCAATCGTCTTCAGCGGCGACTCCTCTTGCTGATCGACAAAAAGAAAGTTTTCAGGTTTGAGGTCCCTATGCATAACACCCAAGGAATGGCATGCTTCTACAACACCTACTATCACCCTTGCAAGTTCAGCTGCTTTCTTCTCTGAATAATGCCCCCTCTGTATAATCCTATCGAAAAGCTCTCCACCTACACAAAGCTCCATTACAACATGAACCGCAACAGCATCCTCGTATGCCCCCACAATTTGAACAACACTAGGTTGTCCTGCCAAGTGATGCATTATCCGAATCTCCCTCCTTACATCCTCCACATCTTCCTCAGTGTTCAACCTTCTTTTAGCAATAGACTTACATGCAAATTCCTTCCCACTCGACTTCTCTACACATAAAAACGTCGTCCCAAATTGCCCTTGTCCTAACTTCCTCCCTAAACTATAAATTTCCTTCAATTACCCGTTTTTCGTCCTAAAACAGATTCAATCTGAAGCCCCAGACTCGACACTCTCTTAACATGACAAGGCTTGTTCTGTTTCACGCCCTCCACCTGCTTATTGACAGTATCATTAGCATCTGTATTCTTGTTGTTATTCCTAACCTCCTCTTTAACACTTATTTGTGTAGTATCTCCATTTATCATAAGGTGTGGGGGTGGATTACTTTGAATACAAGATTTGTTATCATCAGAACTTTTTGCATCATTTGTATTTGATGAATCAACTGAATTCTCTTTGCTTTTTTCCCCTTCATTTGGGAGTGGTAAATTTTCTGATTGATTAGGTTTCCACACGGCTGCAGTAACAGATTTTAAGAACCCATTGTTAGCCAATTTGGGTCCTACACAATTATTCCCCATCCAAAATAAAAATACCAAAACAAATACTACTAGCTCAAATCAAAATCTCAACTTTTCCCAAAATTCCAATACCGTTTGAGCATTTCATTGCTGATTTAAGCAAATTTCAACAGAACCCTTCATGAAGCCCTAATTTTTTTGTCCCAAAAATAAATACTCCACTAAAATCAAAATCAACCGAACTACTCATATGTTAAATCACTCGATTGCACAAAAAGCGTACCAAAAATCGGAATTTTCTGTTGAAATTCAACAGTGATGTCTCAAATATCGAAGCTGGCAAATGAAAATCTTAGGGATTTGGAAGAAATTGAGGAGAAATTAAAAGAGGGAAATTGTTGGAAATGGTGAGGAAATAGAAAGATAAAACGGATCGATGGGTAGTTTTGGCTATCGGAATAATATTGATGATCAGTTCGTTAATTCTGTTATCCATTGGAGAAGTGTGTGTTTTCATGCATGAATTAGCATGCAATCACATTTTTCAACCTACCGCTACGTAAAGGATTTTTATTTTTATTTTTCACACAATTAGCAAAAGGATAAGACAGGCCAACATAAAGGATTTTTTGGTTGGCAAAATAAGAAACTCAAGGATTAGCAATATAGGAATTGGTATCCATTTGGATTTTCAATGTTGTTTTCTTTTGTCCTTTTCTCTTCTTGAGCCGAGGGTCTTTCGGGAACAGCCTCTTTACTCCTTCGGGGTAGGGGTAAGGTCTGCGTACACACTACCCTCCCTAGGCCCCACTAGTGGGATTTTACTGGGTTGTTGTTGTTGTTGTTGTTGTTGTTGTTGGATTGACTTATTTTAAGTGCTTTTAAGCCAAAATGATTTTTAAGCACTTGTGTTTTAAGCTAAAATGACAAAAATAAACCAAAAGTCAAAAGCTAGAATTCCTAACTTATGACATAAAAACTATTTTGACTTAAAAATCATGCTTCTAGTAATTTATATTAAAAATATAGGGCTATTATGTGATAATTAATAATTATAAAATTATTATGTATTAATTAATAATGAAGGAATTATTATTAGAGTAAATTTCACAAATGGTCATGTAACTATTACTTTTTCTCATCAAAGTCATATAACTATGTTTTCTCACAAAAATCATAAAACTTTCACTAACTCATACAAAAATTATAATAACAAAAAAATACAACTTTTCGATAGTATTTCTTATTTCACGCTTTTTTATTATTTATTTTCAGCTTAACAAATAATAACCCAATCAAACTATAAATTAGGGGCATTTGCATCTATACCCGCTTTTTGAGCCACGTTTTAACTTGTGTC